ACTTGAGAGATGTCCTTGTTTGCATGTCTTAAACTGCTTCAGGGGTACACTGAGCCCCACGGTCAGTACAGCCCTGGGGAATGCAGAGGGAACGAGCCAGGGGCTGTTAGAACTTGGTTTATGGCACTTGGAGCACGTCAGCAGTGACTGCATTCTGTGAAGCATGTGGGTAAAGGAGGCACCTTTTGGTGTACCACATTCTTTTCTGTGAAAAGAATTTTGCCTTGTCTAGGATATGTTTCTCTCTCTCCTCACCCTTCTTGATAACTCAGTGCAATTCCTCTGCTTTGGGCAGGCACATTCTGTTGCAGTGTAATTGTTTATTGCTGGGGCTTGTGCAGCTCAGATTCTTATACAGTGGCATTTTTATCTTGTCAAAGCTTCTTAATGGGAAGAAGGGTGAGAGTTTAATTTCCTGCTGTTCTGGACCTGAATTTTTCTTGCCCTTTTTGTTTTATGAGTGTTGTTTTCTTTCTTGCCCATCTCTTGTGTGTGTTTGATTTATACAGATGAACATGCTGATAGCCAGTGCATTTGCAGGATAAGGGACTTTGATAAAGTGCTTTATTTATCTCAAGACTGACATTGATCTAAACTTGTGTGTGGTGGTATTTATTGCTTTTCAAGCTTTGAGGAGGCAGTAATACAAACACTGCAGTAGCACATATTAAAGGGTGAGGTGCTCTATTTTAAGGAGCAAGGCACAGAAGGACCTGTCTTTAGTACCAACTACACTGAGAATGAGTAGATGTCAGGGTTTTTAATCTTCTTACATGGACTCTTGTTGGATAAGGCATTAGAGCAATAGTAGCAGCCAAAAACCTTTGAAGTAGGAGCATCAAGACAAACTTTGCTGGCACTAATCTGAGCAGCTGCTGCTTTGGTGGCTTCCTTGGGATGAAGGGCTGACTCATGAGAGATAAACTGTCACTTTGCTTAGTAGAGCTTTTATTTTTTTCTCCAGCCACTCTTTCAAGTCAGTACCAAGGTTGAAAGTAGGAAGAGTAGTAAGTCAGGGATAAATAAAAACTTCCAGGAACTAAGTAAGGTTAAAGCAGTAGCTGCTGCAGGAAGTCATGGCAAGGAGAACTTCCATGCTTGACAAATCTGTGATGCAAAGGCACTTGAGAGCTTCCCTTCTGCTTGTGCAGTAGTTGTTCCAGCTGGACTTGGGACCTTTAGCATCAGCCCCTCTGTGATCAGTGTTACTGGATGACAATTGGCTTGAGCTCCTGTGCAGCCCCTCGTGCAGGCAGGGGTACAGCCAGGACTGTGTTGTGTTGAACAGCACTGGGCACCAGGGGAATCTTTCCTTCTCTGTTCCTTGCCTTGCATTGGCTTCCTGCTCTCTACTAGAGCTGCCAGTTCAGAGGTGAAGTGTGAAGCAAGCTGAAAGCATAGCTAGAGAACCTGCAAGGTAGTCTGTAGGACACTTAGTCCCCAAACTCTTGCCTTGGCTATTAACCCCTTTCTGTGGTGGTGTGAAATTAAACCAGCTCTGCCACTTGCTGTGCTGTGCTGCTCTCCCTTGATGTGCTGGAAGTAAACTGCCCCATGCACCTCCTCTCCAGGGGTGACCACAAACCAGGGCCAGTGGGGAAAGATTTCTTAGTATCATATGTTGAAGTTCCAATTACTTAACTTTGCATTCCATTGGCTGTCTTTAAAACTTTCTGCCACCTCTTGTTCACGGTTTGTTCTTTCTTTTTTTTGAACCTTTCTAATTGCACATGGCAGCATTCATTTCTGTACTTGGCTACAAGCTGCCACTCAGGCACTTCTTGTCTGAGTTTGTCTGTGCTTTCAGAAGATGATAGGACTCGTGCTGCTTTAATAGATGTTGCATTCTTGCTTTCCTTATTATGATTCTTGTCAGTGACAAGCAATAAAAGCTTTACTTGCTCATAAATTTCCCTGTAAGTTTTTGAATGCTGACAACTGTGGATGGCTCAGTAAATCAATGTTGGCAGATGCTTGTGAAAGCTTCTTTTAATCTGAGTTCATCTGGAAGCCTGTGTAACACAAACACACAATTTTCACCCAAGTTTCATGTTGATTAAGGCTCACTAACAATATCAAGTCCTTTGCCCTTTTTTCCTTGTGTTGTGGTGATGCCTGCTTTTACTTTCTGTGCTCTTTGAAACCTCTGCCTGCTCTAGTGAATTGGTGTCCTTTGAAAGCAGACTGGAGGTGCCTGTGTGTCCTCCTTGCATCCCCCTGCTCTCTTGTAACTTTGGGAGTGAGAACTTTGGCCTTAGCAAATGTGAGCTCAGTTACCCATTTGTTCAACTGTCTCAGCTAATTTTGCATTTTGTCGTGTGCCATTCCAGGAAGGTAAATTTGAATTTGGCTCTGAGTGCCTGTACCTTGGCACAGAGGGGCCCAGGTGAGGGTGTAGCCTGGCAGAAAATCCTCTTCAGTGTATTAGTCCCTCAAGTTTTAAACCTCCACCTTTAATTTAAAGGTCTGTTATGTACTGAGCACCTCTTTGTCACCAGTTATTCTTCACACCTGCCCCTTCCCCTCTGCTTTCAGGCTATGGGATGCCAGATGATATCGTGATAGAAAAGCAGGGCAAAGGGGACAACTTCTTTGACTGTACAGGAGCCAATGTGAGAATCTCTGGTTTGAAGCTGGTGCAACACGATGCTGTGGAGGGGATTATAAGTAAGTGTAAAAGCATCCTGACCTTTTTGTGACTCTGTCATAATTTAGTGTTAGAATTAAAGCTGGGACCCAGTGTTGGAGTTGACTAGTTTCAACAAAATATTCTAGAGAGGAGCCCTACAGGTATAAACATCAAAACTTCTTCCTCTTCTCAACTTGCTTATAATGTGGACATCAAAATAACTTTGTTCTTCCAAGCTCTTGTGGCTCTTGTATTTTATTATACTGGGATAAGATCATTTGACTTGATCACTGTTCTGTTGTTAAGGCAACCTGACTCTGACTGCTGCACAGCCTGTGTCAGGCTACCTGGAAAGGAAATAATTGCTCTTTGCACAGAAAGCCCCCCCTGGCAATACTCAGCTGTAGCTGACCCAGCCAGTGCTCCCCTGAGGAATGGCATATGCTGTGGTGTAAACTTTGGTTCTGACAGCAGGTTCAAACTGAGACTCAACCAATCCTAAATTGTATCCAATGAGTTTATTGGCCATGGCCTCCTGTCTTTGCAGAAGGGGCTGATTAATACTGATTAGTACTTTGCCTCAACAGACATTTGATTTTATCACGTTAAAATGTTTGTTAACACTTGCATGCATGTGTTTAGTATCTTTTGAATTCAAAATTCTCTTAGGAATGTAATGAAAAGATTGTTGCTGTTTGTTTAAAAAAGAAAAGCTGACAAACCTTTGGCTGGTGCTCCCTTGCAGCAGTGTTCCTGCTTGTTCTAGAAAAACAGCACGAGTTCAAACCTGCATGGGCAAATCATGAAAATTAACCCAAAGTGGATAAAATTAAAATGGGAGTTTTATCACAGTGCAAAAATGCTACAAGGCTGTCTGTCTGTAGGAGGGCTTTGTCTTTGCATGAGTGTTTCATCCAGCAGTAATTGGTTTCTGTGCATGCAGATATCCATCGTGGGAAAACCACCCTGGAGAACTGTGTGTTACAGTGTGAGACCACGGGCATTACAGTGCGGATGTCAGCTGAGCTGGTGATGAAGAACTCTGATCTCTACGGGGCCAAGGTAGAGCCTAATCCTTAACTCTGCCTTATTTCCTAATTTAAACTAAAGGTTTCTGTTTGGAAATGGTACAGTCAGTCACAGCGTGACTTGTGTCGCTCTGGAGAGAACCTTTACAAATTAATTTTAGACAGCTACACGTTATTGAGTTTCAGAGATTGGTCCCAGGGGTCTTGTATCCTCTGACACTGTCCACTGAAATGTCTCATGCTGATTTGAGTGTGATGATGGGAAGTGATGTTGCAGCAGCAGACATCTATGAAATAATAATTGATGCATTGCTGGAGTGATTCACATCCTGCAATATTTTTAAAGTGATTTTCTGTTTTCTCTGCCCATAAATAGTTTTCTTATGAAACCCTGTGTTTGTTCTGCCAGTGAAATGCTGTTTTGGACACCTTGTGCATGGATTCTTACAGAAGGACGATAAACACAGAAACGAACTCTGATTAGGACACTTTGAAGAATGATGGGGCTTGGGGTGTTGAGAGGGATGACTAAAGAACAAGAAAGTAATGTGAGGCTGTGCAGCTACTCTTCACCTGGCTTTTCTGGCCTGGGGGCAATAATACAGTCCCTGTGGCCTCAACCTTGAGTCTTGCTTTTTAATTTATGGTAACACAAATTTGCCTTGTGATAACTGGGAGATGAACACACAGATCTGCAACGGAGTCATCAAGTGATATTGTAAATGTGCCTGAACTATTTGTGAACTGCTGCCAATTGTGTCTTGCAGGGAGCTGGTGTGGAAATTTATCCAGGGAGTACGTGCACCCTGCGCCGCAACAGCATACACCACTGCAAGGAGGGGATACTGCTCAAGGTCAGTCCCAGGCACAATGCACTTGTTTTCCAAAAGCTTACAGCTGCTAGAATTAGTAACTCATGTTTAGGTTGCCTTAAAGCCTTGCTGCATTATGCTGAAACTCTTACATGTCACCTATGATGATAATGGTACTTGTTTGCCTTGGGTTGGCCACCACAGCAGTCAACTGGTTTGATTTCTTATCTGCCAGAAAGAGAAGATGCCTTTTGCAATGCCACTTGTATAGGCAAATGATCCAGCCCCAGCCAATACATGGAACTGATTCCACCTAAAACTGGAAGACTTTAGCAGCCCTTTAGCTGGACATGACGTGTGGGATTTTTCTTTTTTTTTCTGCAGAGCTTCTTAGATGAACCTTATGATGTTCCCAAGATAACCATGGTTAAGAATGTGATCCATAATAATGAAGGATATGGTGTGGTCCTGGTTAGACCAGGACCCTTGGAGGTAAAGGGTGCTTCAGCACAGACAACAAAAGGTATTTCTTTTTCTCTTCTTAGAAGAAACTCCTAAAACTAGTAAAGCTAGTACACCCAGGCTTTTGGATTGAATAATTCATAGTTTGTATTTGAAATTTGTGGCTGTCACGAAGTAGCAAACCAAAGAGTGAGTGGGATGAGGTGAAGATGTTAAGACTGAAGAAAATGAATTCCAGGAGGTTTTAGTGATGGGGCTGTTTTGCACGACTGTGGTGACACTCCTGCTGTTTCCTGCCTTAGGGAATGCACAACCTACCCAGTCAGGTGATGAGACAGCCTCTGTGGAGGAGGTGGGGCAAGAACAACCACCTGAGTGTGTGACTGATGAGTTGGAGCGTTCTGAGCGAGCTGGGACTTCTGGGCAAACTGAAGGCAACTGTGAAATTGCAAATGAACTTGGGGCTACTGCTGCAAAGAAGAGCAAGATGCACAAGAAAAGACTGAGTGAAGTGGGAATTACAGAAGCTGATGAAGACTTCCTGTCCCAGGATATGTTTGTCTCTGTTGAGGGCAATCAGTTCAAGTGGAATGGGAAAGGAAGTTTTGGTACCTTTGTTTTCTGAGTGTCCATTGCAGCAGACAATTTTTACAGTTACTGATCAGATCACATGCCTGTGTTGTGCTTTGATGTTGTGCATTTATTTCCCAAGTGTAACCCTTATTAAAGAACTGGGGCTAAAACTCATTTTGTGACTCTTTCCTCTCTTCCTTTCAAAACTGTAACTCTGATGAGTGAGCTGCACCACGTCAGAGAATGGGTGAAGTTGGAAGGGACCACAGTGGGTCCATCAACAGGCCCAGCTCCCTCAGCCTCTCTCACAGGACAGGTGCTCCAGTGCAGCCCTTTGTAGCCCTCTGTTGGACCTGCTCCAGGAGCTCCTTGTCTCTCCTGTCCTGAGGAGCCCAGAACTGGACACAGCAGTCCAGGTGATCCTCTCCAGGGCTGAATAGAGGGGCAGGATCCCCTCCCTCAACCTGCTGGCAGTGCTCTTCCTAAT